CAACAAACAGATAATATTTGTATTAAAGTAGTAGTCCGTTTAAATAGAAATTACGTCTCGCAATCAATTAACATTCGGAGATTCGCGTTAAGTATCGCAGCAGAAAGTAGTCGCACTCAAATCCTTCGCGTTGCTTACTTACGAACGAGACTTGCGAACGTTGCTAACGGTTCTTGATAAACTAATTACACTTCATACTTGCCAAGGCAATCCCTCGTCTCCCTCCGCGGTAACTTCGGTCCGCGAAATTGAATTCCGAAATGCGGTGTACAGCAGTCGCCTGACTTCACCTCGGAATTAGTGAGGCGATCGCGATCCATCTTCGTCATTAACGAAATTAATAACATCTTCGTGAAATCTATAAAACTTGAGCATTTTGACAGTGTAAATTCGCTAAGTCCCGACAAATCATAATTACAATTTGTATTCAGACTTAATATATATCGCAACTATGTGTCTCGTGCGCTTTAATCTCAATCGTTCTAACAAATAACAAAAACTGAATGCGCGCGCATACAGTTTTACATACAACGTAACACGCGCGATAAACCTGAATTTTCAAACAGTTCCGACGTTGCATGAATAACACGACTGCCGTAGGTGGAATTTTCAGTTATATTCAGTGATTTGTGGAAGTATCTTGCGTACAAGCGCAAAAAGCAATGATTACGTGATTAATAAACGACGATCTAACTCGAGGCGATAGCACACCTGTCTGAAATTAGCTATCGATTTCGCGTATGTGTGGCTGATCGCCGTCGCGTCGTTAATGGAACAATAATAGGCGCGTCATGCGCGTATTACGAGGACGCGTACGATAAAATTACCAGGGTGGTAATTAATGCGCGTACTAGACTCGGCAGATGTCAGCGTATCCGAAAATTATATTCAAGCGAGAGTTTTACCTCGCTATCGCTTTACTGCGATCTATTGGGCACAATCTATTGAGATTATCGATGTGTGTGCCGCGTGTAATTCATAGAGCTGCAAATTATCGTCCTATATAATGCGAACGTGACAGTCTCTATTTTCTCGTGAATGTACCGAACTACAAACCGTCCCAATATTGCGCGTTTTTTTAAAAATCCTCTATTATTATCCGTCCTTTTCAAATATTTCACATCGAAAACAAATTATTTCACTTATACGTTTGTAAAACATCGTTTCAAATTAACGATCCTCTCATTTTTCTGACAGATTTTTAGACGAGTTTAAAGAGAACTATTTTTCTCTCAATTAAAAATAAAAAAAAAACAAAAATATATGGTTAAAAAACATCAAATTAAAAAAAATCCAATGCTAGTATATAAATGTTTTAAATAAATTATTTTGATTATTTAAAGAGAACAAAAGATTCGTTAAAACGCTTGTGTTTAAATTAATCAGTCGGTTTACGCGACGCAAAACGTTGACGTTTGTTTCGCTGGAAATAACTTTTACGGATCCAAACGATCTCTCTTTTACCGGAACGACGTGAACGGTCATGTGCGTTTTGTATCGCAGGTGTCAACACTTCACGTTCCACGTTGGAATGTTATAGCAGAGAGCTAGGAAATCGTCAAGCTCGTTTAGCGATCAACGTCATTCATGCGGGAGAGCGCGGATGCGTTAGAAAAATAATAGTCCTCAATTTGATTGATTTATATTACAGTTGTGTGCAAGCGTTGTCAGCCATTGTGTCGGCAACGACACGTCGTAACGTAATATGGAAAAACATTTATTATCAATAGACAATGTTGTTGTAGTTGTTGTTGTTGTTTTTTTTTTTTTTTTGTAATAAATATTGCCTTTTAGTTTTCATCCCACTGGATTATTCAGCCGAAACTGCTGACTTTCTGATAATCGCGCGATGGTTTATGCAAGGGCAATTTTTGCAAAAAATTGCTTGTATGCGACACCGATATTTCGTATCGTGTGATCGCTACGTATCATTTTATCGAGTTTTATGAAACAAGATTTTGAAAAACTGTACAAATAATCACGTGAAAGAATTTGATATAGCGCTTTGCCATATATATATATATATATCTTCATCAATATATATATATGTCTAAAATATATACACGATACGTGTGTTCTATTGAGTCAATTGTATTAAATAATAATTAACTAACAACTATAACTAATCATATAGGACAAGTGTAAACAAAAGAAAAAAGATTTGGTCCTCGGTGTGTAAATTAAAGCCGCGCACTCTCTAGATGTGATCTAGGATTTGTCCACACAGTCCGTCCATTTCTAAATTACAGAAACTACGTTTAACTGTTGGCAATTAGAAGTGAAACAAGAGCGGACCGAGCGACCGATTCATTTCTGTCTCTCTCTCTCTCTCACTCTCTCTCTCTTTTTCTTTCTCTCTTTCTCACTCGCTTGAAACGTTATAAGTTTTTATCCGATGATACTAATGGATGTTACACTTTCCTCTCTCCTTCAGCTACATAATTAAGTTCTCTCTTCGTTGTTGCGCGCGAGGCGTTAAGCGAATGAGAACGCATCGACGGACAAGCGTTTGCAGGAGCTCTCGAGCGTATCAATAATTTACGCGAGCGTTCAGTGCCACCAATTTTACTTAATTAAAGAGTCGATTCCATTACGCCGCCAGTATATCGGAGCATCCGCTACCTCCGCTGAGTAGATATTCTCATTAAGTGGAGTAACGAATCCAACGTCGAGATATTTGCCGTGCCATTTTCGTCATATAGTCTATTAATATAATAATCGCATTTTCTGAAACACGCAACGATCGGAATGCGCGCCGACGAGGGAATAAATATTTCAAATGCGTTTTTCACTCTGACTATATGATTTTAATCGATTTGCTTTATGGCGCGTTAATTGGAATTTATGAAAGTTTCGTTTCCTCTCTTTTTTCCTCCTCTCTCTCTCTCTTTCTCTCTCTCTCTATCTGTGCGTTGTAAGTCTGTAAAACGTGTGCGCGTCGACTAAGCTATAACTTTTCGCAATAAGCAACGTTACAGCTGCCATAACAGCGAGACTGCGCGATCACTGTACTGCGAACCCAACCGTGCGATATGACGAAACTGCACAGAGCAACTCGACGATGTCAAAGGCAGAACCGGAAGTTTCTAACGAACGTCGTAATAATGATACGGGATTTATACGAGTTCGCCTTCGGCGTTGCCGCGAACTTTCCAGTTGATTCGACTCAAACGTCTAATGTCTGATTAAAGATTAAGTGTGTACCTACGTGTGCTCGTCGCGACTATCCGTACAAAGGAGTGAAAGGTTTGTTTTTTATGTATAAACACGCCGGAGTAACATTTTCAAGTGAGAAATTAATTCAAACTGCGCGCAACATCTCTTCATCATGTATCCTTGAAAAGAGCCGACATTCTCTTTTGAATTTTGATTTCGATGAATATTTGATCGCGAGTGGAGAAACTGACATGAGGGGTATCATCCTGTCATTTATTATATTTATAAAGATCTTTCTCTCTCTGTAAAAGTTATACTTGAATTACGAGAAATGATTTCCAAGGACACGCGAGCCAGCCACGACTGGCTCTGACAACGTCGTTATCGGTAACAATTCCAATTTACCGGTGCCATTTGGCCCGCTCGATATCGATCGTACGACTTCCTCCATCCCTCTATCTCTTGTTCCCCCCTTGGAAGTCGCTTTAAATTGAAAAGCCAGAGTGCGGGCCCCAAAAGACAAAAGAAGCGAGCGCGCCGCAGTACTACCGATTTGTGGATCCGACTTTCCATTAGCGAAATAACATTTTCTTCTTTTGGTCGGTCGGTCGGTCGGTCGGTCGGTCGGTCGTCAGTAGAGGTCAGTCACTACTTTCGGAAACACCTAACTCGGCACTCATCTATTTATCCCAACCGGTCGGCCGTGCTTAAAAAAGTCAGTCAGCTTGTGTGAAAGGCACACGAGCTCGGATATAATTTGTCTTCGACAACATTGAGGTGAGGATCGCGCGCGTATCGCTATTTTGTCTTAATTAGTAACTGTTTGTAGCAAGTGTTTTTTTTTAAATGTAATATTTTCGCACGGAAGAAAAAAATATATGATTATAATATATCACAATTATACGTATGTTTCTTTTTACATATACATATATGTATTTTTATATATAATTTTTTATTATAATATATTGAATTTTATTTTATAATTGAAGGTATTTTTATTATGTATAATTAAAAACTATCTTTTAATTAAAGTAATTTTCAACGCTGCAATTCTTTGTGTACGCACGAGTCTTTTCAGTAGCAATAATTATACAGTGACTGTAAATATTAATTGTCAATGTGTGTGCGTGCGACGCATATTGTAATATAGGATCGAGTAGATGCACCGTTCAAAGTCAAAAAGTAATTAATTACGTGCCATTACAAAGACCGAGGACAAAAATAGAGTTTACACGAACTTTAGATTATTAGCCGCGCAGACGTAATATCATATAAATGTAATATCATAATTTACAAAGGTGCTGTTTAACCGTGGAAAAAAATGCTCACGCCGAATTAAAGAATTTAATTACACATTTTCAAACGCAGGTGCATTCTGTTTTCGTAAAATAAATAACTTTTGAAATTTGTGATCATGATGTACACGCTTTGTCGGAATCCGTTTATTTGTAACCGCAATATTCACAAGATAATACAATTCGCCAACTAAATTTTACATTTAGATATATGTTCATCTTTCATAAATAAAGTTCACTTGGAATTAAATGAAAGAGCGAGAGAGAGAGAGAGAGAGAGAGAGAGAGAGAGAGAGAAAGCGAGAGATATTGTGTTAACATTACTTATTCACAGCAATTTAACGTGAACTTCTCATCTTGAATGGTTCTATAACTCAAGAATTATTAACAAGTTATAAATATTTTAGGATTTTTGTTCAAAGTTCTTCCGTTAACTTTTCAAATATGCAAAATACAAATGTATATTAAAATAAAATTATTGACGCGTCGTTCTCATTCCCTTAAATAAATTCGTTTGCTCGCACGAAAAAAATGTTGAATTTTGCTCACCTAATAGTCCCGCTTAATCCCGATAAAGACGTTTGACGTTCCGCATTTCGTCACGACGACGGATCCTTTTATGATGACAGTCGAATCGTTTATTTGCGCGCTCACATTTCACATACAGACGCGCACTGTAAGAGTTTTTCAGAGTAATTAAAACCTACCAACTTTTGAAAAAGAGTACTCTCGCACTGTCATTTGACTTTTCAACACATCCCCACCGATTCAGTTTCTCGTCATTGGGACACCGCCTCGCAACTGCATGATCGATGCGGTTGATGTCTTCGACAAATCGATATCGTCCAACTAAACCTCGGGCTAAATTCGAAACATAAAGAAAATGATCGAACGCACGCAAGTTCGATTATTTACGATGCACCGTAAGTAACAACTACTATTATTTATAATCTCTGACAGCGTTCCGATGTGTATCGCGATGCGTTCTGATCGCACGATTGTTCGAGATTTTATTTACGTTCAACCATCGCTTTCTGTCGACTTTTATATTACATCTCGTTCAAATTGCTCTCAAATTGTGTCAGTGTTTTTTTTTTTTCTATTTTTTTTTTATTGCAGTATGTTCGCGCGTGACCTCTCTCGACTCTTCCGATATAGTTGCACCACTTTATACTGTTGTCTCAGAAAATATGCACTCAATATGCCAATCACGCAATTTCTGTCTCTCGAATAACCCTCATCTCAAGGCGAGATCTTCTGTCTCTTCGCAACAGAGAAACACCCGCTCCGAAACTGTGCGCGCCGAGGATCGGGCGGTGACTGAAAGCGTCGCGCGGTCTCGCGCCCTGTATTTCTGTCCTTCTCTCTTTGGCTCTCATCCCCTCTCGCACGCTCTCTCTCTCTCTCTCTTACTCTCGCGAAATTCCACTCTCTTCACAGCGCACATTCTCCGTCCCTTTTGCTCGCACTGATAAAGGGTAAGGAAGAACGTTCTTCGCAGCTTCTCTCTATCCATTGGTTCAACCCTCCCGCAAACTCAACCTTTCTCACTCACTCACTCATTCATTCGTCCCACTCACTCGTCTCCTCTCTTCTCCGTTTTCTTCTTGCTCTCTCCCTCTCCTCTCTCTCTCTCTCTCGCTCTCATTTTCTAATACACATAGAGATACTTTATCTCGCTTTATCTGTCGCTCAGTTTCTCTCGCTTCTTCTTCATCTCATCGTTCTTGTCTCGCTCATTCACGTACTTGTACATGTGTCTGTATCATCCGCTCTCTTTCTATCTCATGAAATACCTGTATCCTCTCGTCTCCGTCTTTGTCTCTCCTGCTTGTGCAACATCCCTCGCACGCACATATCCACCCCTCTCGCTCATACTCATCTCATCTCTTCGCGTCCGGTGCACGCGCGAGCATCCAACGCAGAGGACCACGCCTACCCCTTCTGTATACGTGCCATTGATGCGAGAGGGAAACTTAGCCCCCGAGCTTCCGCGAGTGCAACGCTCCGGCTTTTTCCGACGTACGAAAGCCTCTCGAGCTACAGTCTTGATTACACATGGGCGTTCTCAGAGTCGGTTTGATTCATTAATGCGAGAGAGAAGGAAGAAGGAGGAAGAGAGAGAGAGAGAGAGAGAGAGAGAGAGAGACAGAGACTCTGTTTTATAATTATTTATTTAAGGAACGCACGGAACGTAATTTCTGTGTGACATGTTAAAACATGTTGAGAATATAATTGGCAACACGTAGAATCAACGTAGACAATGCAGACAATTACATTGTATGATGTTTATAGTTTAGTTCGACACACACGACGAACACCATTTTTTCACGTTCAATTAGAATCCAAATTCTCAAGACAGTTTCTGACAATCGATATGTAGGCTAATCGTAATTTTCGTATTGATCGTAGAGATAAAGAGAGAAACTATATTATTTTACAGTTATATATATTATTATTAAAATTTTCAAACAAGAGAAGATAACACTTTTTAAGCGCGAATAAAAACCAACTGCGAAATGTAAATAATGGTATGTTGTTTAATTGGAGTAACGTGCGTGAGCTGGCAAATTACATGTGCCTGAATACATCTAATTTTTCATAATGAAATGTTTGCTCCGATCGCGCGTTTGCGTTGAATGAGATTCCACAGCAAATATATGTTATTCATAAAAGATCAATATTTAAGTTCAAACTGGTTATACACATAGGACGCGATATGTTTTCAATTTATATAGGTCAGATTTATTTACTCGAAATAAAAATAGAGAAATAGAGAATTTTCAATATATTTTACGATATAAAACTCGGTCTGTGTATGTGTGTGTGTGTGTGTGTGTACATACGTGGTCGCGTGATTTCGTATACTATGTATAATTTTGTATAACTGAGTCACTTGTCCAATGTGTGTGTGTGTGTGTGTGTGTGCGTGTGTATGTACTGAATGTAACTCTATGCACCACCGCATATAACATCAGTGGTATCATCGCCAGAACATGCTGTGTTTGCTTGTTTCTGTGTGCCTCTATCGGACAAGTATATTCCTCGAGAACGCGTTATAATTACGACTATTGTGGAAATCCGTGTTGAGAGATAACGGACTGACTTACGATGACGAGATCGTTTTCGCATGAAACCGCATCGCGTTCGGAAGAGAAACTCGAGAGCTTATCTCCCAGAGAGTCTAATTATCAGTATTATCGGTGTGCGCGAATATATACACGGTATGCAAGCATTGTTTAGTTTTTTTTTTTTTTTTTTCTAATAACGTGATATTAGATAGTGCAACTACCTCTTATAACATTTAAATGCAAAAAAAATTGCGAAGAGATTTTTCAAAAATGCGTCATCGTTTCTTAGAATATGACTTTGAATTATCTCTCCTGCTCTGTTTTCGTATATCAATATATATCGCGAGAATAAAACTTTCGAGAAGAGTTTTTCTGCCGATAATATCTCTCAATTTCGCGTCCAAACGAGAAAATATCGTTTTCCGAAAGCGCAACTCTCTCGTGTGTACGGGAATGCGACGAACAGGTCACTCTCTTTTCACGTTCGCCGATAAGCTCCCTCTTTCTCTCTCTCTCTTTCTCTCTCTGCCGGGTTGCTTTTTCCGGAAATGCATACTTAAAGCTCGGAAGCGCGTTTCGAGATTAACGCTTCTCGCAATCGTCGCATACACCCATACACACACACACACACACAAGTGTCTTTATCGGTGCGCGCGACGGCGCTATGCAAAGTATTTTCAATTTTAACGTACACACGGTCACGGCTGCGGTTGTGCGAGGGGTTATGCGGCCTCTCTTTTCATGCCTATCCACCTATCTTTCTTCCGATGAAGGTTTTCCGCATCGGCGGACTTCTGCATTCTCCCGTTCGCTTTATTACGTTGCAGACACCGCGAAGAATGAATGCTTTGCGCGCCACCGCTCGCATTTGACTGGGGATTGCGTATTTTCTATAGCGTGTACACCGAGATATAGTCGGAAATTGGCATACTTGTCTCCGTAATGAGACTATCGAAAGGTAAATTTCTCTCTCTCCGTTTCTTTTTTCATATCGAAGAAGTTTCGCGCATTCGAGAAACGTTACAGACTTGCTAAGAGCGGATGTATTCAAGAATTCAATCTCATCCTCCGACTTGTCCCTCTTACGTGCGCGTACATAATTGAAATATTCGAACGATCGAACGAGTAACATGACGATGAGCGATACATATATTTTTTTTTTATTATTATTAATTATCCAGTGTATAGCGACTAACGTAATGCGTACTTGTGCGACTTATACGAAATTCGTAGATTCGCGAATTGATTTTGTTAAATATAGACGTTCGATTGACATCGCGGTTAAACGATAACCATCATTCGTGCATCTTCTACATTCGCAGCTGTTTAATTGTAATAAATAAATTATCAAACTGCGAGACAAAACAAAAAACAAAACGTCTCACTTTTTTCGTTACCGGCGTGACTCGCAGAAATCAAACCGCGCGATTACGAGCGGATCGTGTCAGAACAAATCGACGATGTTGTTAATAAGTGATCCGAGTTACCTCGGTGCTCGTAATGCAATTATTCTTCTCGTGCTTTGTGCGACGCGGGAGCGAGTATAGTTGAGCGCTCGCATAAATGACGGGGGTAACCTCCGAGTGCGAGACATTCTGGAGCGGCGGGGGAACAATGGACAATTAATGCACGCCATTCTCTCTCTTTCTCCCTCTCTCTTGCTGGGTACATTCCGTGAACTCTGAATTCTCGCAGGAGCGCCGTTGCCGTCGTCGTCCCTTGCGTTGTCCTCCAGAAGTTGCACAAAGGAGCGACGGAATACTCCCCTTGAAGAGACGCACACGTGCCTTACGGCCTGAGAAAATATCGGTCTTGAAATCGACATTGAAGCCACTCTCTCTCCCTCTCTCTCTCTTTCTCTATATATATATATATATATATATATATATATATCTTTCTGGTAAATATATAGAGAGAGCAGCTTTTTTACATTCTGTTAATTTAGATTATTTAGTGAGTACTCCACATTTCCTGCAAACACGTGGTGTTCCCGGCGCGGATTATTTGTAGAGTTGTGGGAAAAACAAGGAGGTTTTAATGGCGCGTCATTTGCAAGCTTGAAACTTCCGCAAAAGTACAAGCCTGCTTGTCCGCAACAAAAGATACTACTCTTTGTGATACTGCAAAAACCTTTCTTTAATTACTCGGTCTTTAAAGTGAATGTGTCGAGTCCTTCTTTTCTCTGGGAATGAAAGAGAGAGAAACGCGTAGAGAAAGAGAGAGTGTTGTTATCTTCCTGCCAGGTCAAAGATTACCGCGCGATAAAAATAACACAAATACCAAGCAAAGAGGGGGGCGAGGAAGAAGAAAGATGGATACAAAGAAGTAATGAAAACGTCTCTAGAATCTTTCCGAGCATTTTGCAATCTCTTCTGAAGGGAAGTGTTTTATCATTTTCAAGGTGCCATTACGAACCATGTATTGCAGATTATTAAATGAGCTGGAAGGAAAAAATAAGACAAACTCGTGTTCGAAAAAATTTTGTTTATTACCTGATAACTAATGTTACGCGTACAAACTGTATAATAAAATACAAAAGGTCTTTGTTTCAAAAAATTACTGCATGTTTTATTGTATGTGAAAAGATATTGTGCGATGGAATCGTTTCGATTTGTCACAAAAGATTTCGTCGAAATTTATTTTGTCACTCGAAAACCGTTTATAACTTTTTACCGACATCAATGAACTTATATAATTGTATATATAAGAGAAAGAGAGAGAGAGAGAGAGAGAAGAGTGGCTACTTATATACTTTTTTTCTCACAAGAAAAAATAAATGTGCGATTTTAATTCTAGCTTTACCTTCAGTATTTAAACTCCCATTAAAATAAAAAA